GCATGCTCAGCGGCGCGCTCGCGGCCGGGCGGAGGAGAGCGGGCTGCGGGTCCGCAGGCGCGGCGGCGGCGGCGGCGGGGAAGAGGGCTCGGCGAGCGCGTGCAGAGCGCCGCCTCCCGGGGGCTGCGCTGCGCTGCGCCGGCCGGGCGGGTGCGGGTGGCGCGGGGCACCGCCCGCGGGGGCTTTGGAAGCCGACCCGGCGCGGGGTCCCGGGCGGGGGGCCCCTTCCCTCCCGGCTCTGCGGGGATGCCGGTGGACCGCATGCTCCGGAGGCCGGGCCAGACCCGATCCGTGCGGCTGCCCGGAGCACGGGCGCAGAGGCCGGCGGGTCTGCGCCAGGGGGCGATTGCGCGCAAGCCCTGCTGGCGTTGCTCTTGGGGAAGCAGATGGCCCGGATCGTGGCCTGCCGGCTCGGGGGCAGGAGGACTGGCCGGGAATGCTCCCAGAGACTGGGGAAGCATCTGGGCAGGCTCAGCTGTGGGGCACGCGCTCTCCGTTTTAGCCCTGGGGGGCTCTCCTGCCTGAAGGAATGGGGGAGAAGGACCCCCGCTGCATGCAATCCGGTGAGCAGCTGCCAGCCCGAGCAGGCAAAATGGCCCTGGGTGGGTGCAGATAGCTGCGGCCTCATCCTGCGTCGGCACAGGTCGGTCGGGATGCAGGGGCCGATCTCTGGGTGATTTGCACGGATTCCTGCCTCCCGGTTGTTCCCCGTGGCAGCAGTTCCAGGAGTTCCCATCCCCAGCCCTAAATTGCCCATCGCTGCAATCGAGAAAGCTTCGAGTGCGCTTCTCGCATGCCCCCGGGCACGTCTGTCCTCTCGGTGGTTCATCTCCGGCTTCTGGCAAAAACGCGGAGCAGCGCTGCTGGCCCCGTGTCTGGCCGCCCCGGCAAGGGGCCTTGTCTGTTCCCTGGCCTCTCCTGCACCTCGAGAAGGCCTGCAACACGGCTTTGCTGCATGGAAGCCCCCTGCCCCGGCCCCGGACTCCCACGCGCCCTCCAGACGGTGTGACATCATCACAAACATTGCATAGGTTGCGCAAAAGGGCGAGTTTGGACTAGAGCGGCTTGTCATGCCGGGCCAGAAAAGTTGCCCCTGGGAGAGTCCTGCTCCTGGGTACCTGTTGCAGGTGTGGGGGCCTGCTGGCCCCCAGTCCTAGTGAGCTCCTTTGCAATCCCTTGCTGAGAATTTCTCTCACTTGCATTCCTCGGCCGCCTGTCTCAGCTTTCTCACTCCCCACCTCACACGCCTTTAGCAGATTTAAAGTTTTTAGCATTTCTGGATGCAAACTCGGCCCGGTTTAGCCCAGTGAGATCCCCACCTGCCCACAGCAGTGGGTGTGCCTGTGAGCATGCCTGCTTTATTTATGAGACCGCCCGACCCCAAGGAGGCGGCGAAGAGGAGCTTTGCTTGGGGGGCTCCTGATAGCCGTGCAGGGTGTTTACTGGCCCAAGCTCACATGCCTCGAGCAGCAGCTTGGCCTGCGGATGGGGCAGGATCCAGCGAGGTCGCTCTGCCCACACGGGCTGGCTGGGTGGTGGTGGTGGGAGTCCTCCAGGGAGCCCAGGGAGCCCAGTTGGGTTAGTGGAAAGATGTCACCGGCTGCTGCCCGTGTGGGAGAGGTCTCTGGGGGATTCAGCGACACAGCCAAGGTTGCTCTTTGCAACAACCCATCCTACCAAGTAGAAAGAGAAAAAGGTCTGGGGCAGACACCCTTCTCCGGGGGCCCTCCCTGAAGGAGACTAGGAGGGTGGCTACCCGGAGAAGGCCCTTCTCTGCAGTGGCCCCCCAATTGTGGAATTTGCTCTTCAGAGAGGCTCGCCTGGCGCCGTCACTTTATTCTTTTCAGCCCCAGGCCAAAACCTTTTTATTTTCCCAGTGTTTTAAGACCTGACTGTTTTAATTGGAGTTTTATTGTTAGTTGAATGTTTAGGATGCTGTGTTTTAACTTTTTTACATTTTGTATTGTTAAACCGTCCTGAGACTTTGGTAATGGGACGGTCTAGAAAAGTTTTCAATAAAACAAACGGACAAACAAACCCTTTGGGGCAACAGGGACAGTCTTAGCAGAAACGAGGTGCTTTCCTGCATCGGGGGACCGCCTGGTCAGGCAGGGGACCACCTGCTGGCGACCCGAGTCCGTTCCGCAGGCCACTGATTCTTGTCCAATCGAGCTTCGAACCTTATATCTCAGCTCCTCCTCCTGAGAAGCTCTGGGCATCATTTTCCCTTTTCACGGGCGGCCCTGCTGTGATTTATATGCTGTTTTCCAGGAAAGGCCGAGTGTTGGAGGCGGCTCAGCTTGTGTCCCGGCCTGATTCATCCCCGGGTGACTTCGCGGTTCCTCAGGGCCGGGGGGGGGGGACAGTTGCTGGAGCGCCACATTCGAGCTTCTGGCTTGTTCGTCCTTCCTTCTTGGGAGGGTGCGGTTGCGAGAGTGAGTCAGGTGTGGCTGGCGGAAGGATCCTCCCTGCTGCACCTCCACCAGTGGCTGCCTTCTGAGTAGGGCTGCTGGCCACCAGGCCCCCGGGCTGGAGCTGGGGTGAGCCTGCTGCCCCGCTTCCAGGGGCAAAGGGCTGGCTGAGGCGGACCTGGGCACAAGCCCCGCCTGTGGGGACATGCGCGGCTGCCATGCGCTGGAGGCCGGCCCTGGCAGGAGGCAGAGTGCGGCAGTCGCCCAGGCGGCAGGGGCCGGGAGTGGGAGGCGGGCATCCCGGAGTCCTCCTCGCATGCGCTCGGCGGGCGTGCTGCCTCCAAGCGCATTGCAGAGGCTGCTCCATCCCCCACAGTCCCTTCCCGCCCAGTTTTCCTTTGCGCGGGGAATTGTTCTTTTCCGCCGGCCTCGGACCGGCCTCGCTGCACCAGGCCGGCCCTGCCTTCATTCTGCCTGGCTGAGCATCCTGACCCAGAGTGGAGCTCCACGCTGTCAGACCAGGGTCTTCTCTAGCCCAGCTGGGCAGGGCCTGGACCCACGCATGAGTGCGTGCAAGTCGGGGGTTCTGCCCTCTTTGTGCTGAAAGTACAGACCCAGGGGAGCCGGTTGTGGGCTGCTGGAGGCATATCGAAAGCTAAGCAGGGACAGAATGTCTGGATTGAGTTAATTGGTCTTATTCTTCCGAAAGGTTTGCTTCACTGAGTGCCCTACTTAGAGAGGAAAAAGTCCCACAACACACCAGCTTTCTGGGAGCCCGGAAGCGATAGGATATTCCTCTGCCAGAGCATGCAGTTCTTCACACAGCACATCCTTAATTGTGGAATTTGCTGCCACGGGAGGTGTGGATGGCTGCCGATCTGGGTGGCCTTCAAAGGGGACTGGGCAGGAGGCGGCTACGGGTGGCTACCGGCCCGGCTGGCCATGTGCCCCCTCCTTCCCCAGGGGGGGCCTGCCTGCACACACCGGTTGCTGAGGAGCTGGGCAGGGGGAGGCCTTGCCCCCGTCCTGCGGGGGGATCCCGGGAGCAGCTGGTCGGCCGCTGTGTGTGGACCTGGCGTTCAGTGCAGCGGGGCTCCTCTTATGCCCTAAGGCTTGAAGGCGAAGCGTTGAGACCGAGTGCCCAAACTGCGACCCAACACCCGCTTATTTATCGCAAGGTGTCAACCCTGCAATAGGTTTTAGTTTAAAAAAAACACCTCACAGCCTGTCCAAGCAGAGAGAGAGAGAGAGAGAGAGAGAGAGAGAGAGAGAGAGAGAGAGATCTCTGTGTCTCTCTCTCCCTCTCTTTCTCCCCCCCCCCCCTTGGCAGCCACTGATGGGTCATGCGAAAGCTGCCACAGGAGGTGGAGGTGGCTGCCGACCTGGGTGGCCTTCGAAGGGGAGCGGGCAGGTTCTTGGGGGAGGGGGCTGTTTGTGGCCTGCATGCACCAGCTGCGGAGGAGTGGGGCTGGCGGAGGTCTTGCCCCCCCCCTGCTGGGGGGGCCCTGGGGGCAGCTGCTTTGCCACCGTGTGTGGGGAGTGCCGGGCTGGGTGGAGCTGGGTCTTTTCGTGTGTCTGGGGCAAATCCCAGGCTCCAGAGCAGCTCCCACAAGGGCAAGAACACGGGTGCGGTCTTGCCACCAACGCTGCCTCTCCAGTTAGCAACTTTCAGAGATGTGCCGTTCGCTGCTCTGCCCCGAGGTAAGAGAGCAAGCGGCACCCGAGCATTTTCAGACCAAGCCATGTGCTTTCTGCAAGCTCGTCACACCTCTGAGGCTGTCTGTGTCTGATGCACCGTGTGAAGTGCAAGCCCCGCCGTGAGCTTGGCTCCAGCAAAACCATTCCCGGGTCTGTGCGCCTTGGCTGAGCTGCTGGATAAGCTGGTCTGGCCGCTTTCGATCATCTCCAGGCGTTGCGATTCCTCGGCTCCTTCTTCAGCTGCAGTGCTTGGCTGGCCCCGAGGTCTCGGGTGGGGGCGGGCTCGCGCCTGCGTGCCACAGCCTGATCCCAGCTCGCCTGTGCCGGGGTTCGCTCTTGCCCCCCATTTCTTTCATCCTGGTTTCTGCTGCGTGATTTCTCGGGTCTAGAAAGACTGCTTTGATGAGACGGCCCTTGAAAGCAGTTCAGAAGTTGTATTGGCCCGGAAGAGGCCTGCACCTTTGTACCGCTCTGAGCGTGTCTCCCGGACGCAGCGGGGCTTTTCGGTCGTGGCTTCCTTGCCCTGGAGCAGCTTTCCCAGGAAGGCCCACCTGGCGCCTCCCGTGTGAGCTTTTCAGCCCCAGGTGGAGACTGTTTTGTTCTCCTGGCCCTTCAGAGAAGCGCTGCAGGCGACAGGGAAAGCCGTCCTGCCCCTGGGACTGGCGAGGTTCCGCTCAGCCTCGTTAGCCGCCCAGGGCTGCCTGGGCCCACGGCCAGAGCGAGGCGGAGGCCCCTTGCGCGCTCATCCGTGTTGTGAGGATCCTGCAAGATGCGAGGTCGACAGAAAGGCATCCTTTAAATCTGGGAGTCCCATCGCAGCCTCTGACAGCTTGAGCGGAGTGTCAGAGTGTGAAATTCAGCTTGCTAAATGCAGGAAGGAAGTTGAACCCGATGGCAAAACAAATGAGAGCCTGCACAGTCGCTCACATGAAACGATTTGTAGTTGCAGGATACCATGATGAGGCCCATACAAAGGCCACAGAAATAGGCAAGCTTTGGAGAGCAACAGGTCTCTGCAGCAGGCAAGAGGCTACCAAAGGTCAGTGGGGCGGGATAGGAAGGGGAGAGGCTGGGTGGAGGGCTGTGGGGGGCCGCAGATGCCCCCCTTACGCGTCATCTGGTGGTGTGATGTACCTTGTACCAGGAATGCCTCGCTGTGGCTGAAACAAGAAACCGAGAAAGGGAGGTCCCATTTTCGAAGCTAAAGTCCAGCTGTCCTGGTACTGAAAACAATTTGCTTGTCTGTAAACATTACAAAAGGGCTGCAGGTGGCGCAGGGGTTTAAACCGCTGTGCTGCTGGGCTGGTTGATCGGAAGGTCGCCGGTTCGAATCTGCACAACGGGGTGAGCTCCCGTTGCTCCATCCCAGCTCCTGCCAACCTTGCAGTTCGAAAGCCTGCAAATGCAAGTAGATGAAAAGGCACCACTTCGGTGGGCAGGTGACAGCGTTCTGTGCACCTCGGTGTTCAGTCATGCCGGCCACATGACCACGGGGACTGTCTGCGGACAAGCGCTGGCTCCCTTGGCCAGGAATCGGAGATGAGCACCGCCCCCGAGAGTCAGGCATGACTGGACTTAAGTCAAGGGGGAACCTTCACCTTTTTAGGCATTACAAAATGCAGTGCTGTATAAAATTTGGCAATGCAAAATGGTAAAAGCCGAGCAACCAGCCATTACAAAGAGGCAGCAACTGGTCATCTCCTCACACCCGGCTGCCGCAATCTTCAGAAATTTGCGATGTGTTTTCAGTGTAGCTGCTGCAAATTCTGCAGCCTCATCTGGGTGGAGCTGCTATACTCTGCCGACAAATGGTGGACAAGATGAGTCAGAGCGTGCCCAGGCCTGACTTTCCACAGGTCCCCCAGGAAACGCAGGGCAGCAGGCACCTTCCTTGGGGCAGCAAAAGTTGTCTCGAGAAGCTGCCGCTGAAAGCATCGTCCTTTCTCAACCCTGCTAAAGTTTCTGCGCCTGGGAAGCCCTTCGCCACTATGAGCTTTGGTGTGCTGACGCTCCCCAGAATCAGGCCATGGCGATGTGGGCCAGTGATGGGCCGGTGGGCCTTCAGCACTGCTTGGATAGATCCCATTCCTAGGTGTTTGGCAGCCTTTGCCACGCAGAAGAGATGCCTTCAGACTTCTTGCAACAAACGGGAGTGGTGGTTTGACATCCCACTTCTGGGCAGCACAACGCCTTTGATCTTTCTGAAATGGCAATCGAAAGCCACTCGGGCCGGATCGCGGTCTAGGAAGTGCGGGCTTGAGGTTGCGATCGCTCGGCTTCCCTGCATCGGGCACCGCGGTTTGAGGCGGCCTTGCTGCCCTAGTTGGAGCCAGCTGTGGCTCGGCTGGGCGAGCGAAGGGGTCTGGCCGTTTCTTCCCTGGAGGACCACAGCCGCCCCCAGAGAGGGGAGCGCTGAGCCAGGGAGACTGCGGGAGCAGGGGAGGCGGGAGGAGCGGTGGAGAGCCGGTGGCTCCCCCTCGGCGCAACTGGTCCTCGGGCGGCAGGGAAGCCGCTGCCCTGATGCCAGCCGCTGTTCGCTCTCGCGCTGAGCCGCAAAGCAAAGCCAGCCAGCGGTGCCCCGGGTGCCTTTGTTGTCCCCGGCTCGTGTGACCCCCTGAACCGGTGCTCTCCGAAGGGCCCTGTTCCCGGCAGCCCCGCTCGGCTCCCGCCAACTCAAGGCCGGGGCTCCCTTGATGGAGCCATGCCGTCCTGTTGGCTCTTGCTTCTCTTCTGCCTTGGACTTCCCCTGCCATGACGTTCTTCTCCGGAGAGTCTCGCCCTCTCACGATGTGTCCAAAGTACGATAGCTCCTGTGTTGCCCTGTTGGCTCCCTGGGCAGCCTCTGGCCCCTCGCTCGCCTTTCTGTGGCTCCTGCTTAAATTCCCTCTCTGGAAGTGCGGCTTTCCCAGCCGTCAGGCATCCCTGCAGGGCCTCTAACTTGCGCACCAGACACTGCAGGAGGTACGCGACGAGGGTGCCGGCCTGCCCTGGCCTTGCCTCTCCTCTGCAGCAATCCTTCCTTTCATCAAAGGTCTCTTTGTTTTACTTCTGCATTGACAGGAAAACCCCCCTTGCATTTGTGGAAAGTCCCAGGAACTGTGTGAGCGCTTCTGGCCAGGTGTGCGCAGTCCCTTCCTGGGCAGAACAGCAGCTCTTGGTGGCAATGAGCAGCCCCCGAGCGCCCCATTTAAGGCACCTTCCCAGGAGCTCTCTTCTTCCAGGGAGCTAGGCTATTTATTTTGGACTGATTAGTTTTCTTGCGGGGGTTTGTGGTTGTGATGGGCCATCAAGCTGTCTCTGACGTCTGGGGACCCCGTGAAGGCAAGCCCGCCAAAAGGCCCGGTCCGTGGCAGCCCCGCTCAGCGCTCCCAAGCTCAAGGCCGGGGCTCCCCTGGCGGACCCAGCCCACCTCAGCTCTGGCCTCCCCTTTCGCCTTCTCCAGGGCGCCCTGCCTTCTCGCGATGCTTCCAGAGTAGGACAGCCCCAGTTTGGTTGTGTTTGCTTTTAGGGAAAGCTCTGGCTTGATTTGATCCAAGACCCACTTGCTCGCCTTTTCAGGTGTATATCAGTTTAAAGGGCCAGGTAGGTAGGTAGGTAGGTAGGTGGTGGGAATTTCCTTTCTCCAAAGTCCCCAGATTGCTGCTGCACACAGTCAGGGCGGACTGTGCAAGTCCTTTTCAGTCCCGGTGTCATTGTGCCCTCGTGCGGCCTTTTCCAGAAGGGGCTTCTCCCCCCCCCCCCCCCCCCCCCCCCCCCGCCTGGACCTTCTGCAGGAATTTAAGCACTGGCAGCCGCAGCTGAGCCCGCAGGCCGGCTCCGCTCCCGCCAGAGCTGCGTTCCCCCGCGGCGCATCACAAGGCCGCGGCGAACCTCTTTCTTTTCTGCCCATTCGAAGCCTCTCGGGTGTGTGTGGCTTGGGAGAGGAAAGGCCAGGGAGCAGCAGGGTGCTCTGGGGAACGAGCGAGCTGCTGGGGTTGCTGATTCCGACGTGCCGGGCCCCGGTGCGGCAGGTGCGGCTGGAGCCCTCTTGGCCCGGCCGCCCGTGCCTTTCGCTCAGCCCTGGTTTGCCTTCGGAGCGCCCTGCATGTCCCCTTCCCCTTCCAAGGTGCAGCGGGTGAGGGTCAGCCAGGAGACCACGTGGCAGCCCCCCCCCCCCATGAACAGATGGACCAGCCAGGTCGTGCGTCCTAAGCAAGCAGCTTCCCCTGCCCGCCGTTCTCCCTGGGGGTGGGGCAGCCTGGGGAAGGAGGTGAGAGGGGCCCCCTTCTCCCTGCGTTCTGATACCAGGACCCAGCAGGGTAATCCCATAAAGCCGCAGGGCGGGAGACTCGGGGCAGATCCGAGGAAGAGCCGAGCGAAAATGTGGAGGACGCGTCCGCTTGAGGTCCTGCTGGCCACCAGTTTGGGCCACATTAAGGGGACTGGGGAATGCATGAATTCACCAGGTGGGCTTTCCTGGAGGCCAATCCGGAGTGCCATGTGCCATGCGACCCCATGCTGGGGAACATGGGTACGAGGCGGCCGTCAGTAGCAGTGACACCTGGTGTCGGGTTTAACGCACTGCCAGGTGGAAGGCTGCCAGAGAGGCCGGACACGGTCGCTTCGGCTTCAGAAGAGGAAACTTCTCAAAAAAGAGGAAGCGGGTAAAGGAGAAGTTGCGCGGGAGTCAAGACGGTTAAACCCCCTTTGAAGCGCACGGAGAGCACTCAGAACCACGCCGTGGCGGTGCAGAAGGGAGAGCCGAGAAGCTGCCGGCCCAGATGCCACAAGATTGCACAGGCCGATGCAGGAAGAGAAGCTACTAATACTGCTTTGTGGCGCAGATTGCTAAGCACAGCAAGGCCCACCATGAGCAGCTATTCGGGGTGGAATAG